TGGGAAGTTGGCTCAACAGTTGAAAGTACTTACTGTTCTTTCAGGGGACCTGAGTTCAGTTTGCAGCACCCCCGTTGGGTGGCTCACAACCTAGAAATCCAGTTCTGATCTCTGAAGGCGCCTTCACTCACATGCACACACTCCCACACAGACCCAAACAACACACATTACTGAGGCAAGAGGGTCAGGAGATTGACACCTGTCTAGGCTACACACTAAGACTGTCCTAGACAAACAAACAATAAATAAACCAAAATAGGTAATTGTCTTATATCATGGGTGGGAGTCTAAAATCATATAACCACTATGATGAAATAAAAGCCAAGACACTTCTATGGGGCTAAATGTGTGGGGGAGTGTGTGTTGTGTGTGTCTATGATGCTATAATCTCAGCCCTACGTAATTACCCAAGAGAAATGAAAGGTTATGCCCACAAATACTATTATGAGCAGGATGTGGTGGCACACACCTCTAACCCCAGCACCCAGAGGTGGAAATAGGAAGATCTCCACAAGTTTGAAACCAGCCTAGGTATACAGTTCTAGGCTAGCCTGGGCTACAGGATAAGACCCTGTCCAAAAAGAAGAGGAGAAGGAGGTAGTGATTCATAGGCAGATATCCATGAACAATTGTTTCAACTTCTCCTCTTCGTCTTTTTTGTTTTTTTTTTTTTTTCGAGACAGGGTGTACTCTGTGGCTTTGGAGGCTGTCCTGGAACTAGCTCTTGTAGACCAGGCTGATCTCAAACTCACAGAGATCCGCTTGCCTTTGCCTCCCGAGTGCTGGGACTAAAGGCATGCGCCACCACCGCCTGGCTCAACTTCCCCACAAGTATGAATGTTTTGAAAGTAAACTGTTGATGGGGTTGGGGGTGGGGGCTAATGAGTATCAGGCCCATCTAATTGTGCTCCTAGCAACACTATTAGTAGTGGTTCCCAGAGGAAACAACTTAAATGTCCATCAACAGCTCAAGTGATCAACTGATGATGTTAGAATCATAATGAAAGACTTCACCACAGTACGAATGAAAGATATATGATTGTGTGCAAGAGCAGTGATCCATTTATGTAAGATCCCAAACAGGCAAAGCTAGTCCATGTCAGGCTGGTGATAGCCTCAGGCACAGCAGTGCTGAAGAGAAGGAGCCTAAGAGGCTTTGAAAGGCATTTACCACTGTGCACTCGACTGATGTGTGTGATGTGTCCTGTGTGCAAAACTGTTCATGGTACAATCCCCATTATCTACTGTATACGCTGATCAAAAGTTTTTCAAAAATGAATGGTGGCCCTCACTGCTCTTCAAACAGGTTCCTCTGCTCCACCCCCAAGGAATGCCTTGCCAGCCATCTTTTCCCATCTCTCCTCTCCCAGTTCCCAGGCTCTGACATGCCTGTCTCCTTCACCTGCCAGAGAAAAACTCAGAGCTCAAGAATTTCATTTCCAACCTCTATTCTAGTATAGGCTTCGGGATGGATCCAAGTAGAAACAGTTCATAATGACCTAAGAGTCAGCCAGCCCCAAGACATGTTCCTTTGCTCCCTTAGAACAACAACAAAATGCTGTAGGCATTCTTTTTTAAGAGTAAGATCTGTCCTCCCTTTCAATAGAGACCTCTGTGTCTTCCCTTGCTACCACCCTCATGTCAGCTCTTCTGTTCTCCCTTGTAAGGCAGTGCTGCTGCTTAATCTCCTCACCAAACCTAATGCGGGCATGGTTCTGGAGTTCCAAACCAGGGCCAAGCATCCCCTGGTTAGTGAGTCAACCCTCAGATCCCAGTAAAGGTGGCGATGAGAGGCAGAATTCTGGGTACAGAACAGAACTGAGAACTTTGTACATGGGTCCTGCCCTCCCCAAGTCATTGGTGATAAAGTCAAGATGACTATAGTTTTAGACTAAATAAAAGAGTGCTCTCTCTCTCTCTCTCTCTCTCTCTCTCTCTCTCTCTCTCTCTCTCTCTTTTTCCAAGACAGGGTGTCACGTAGCCTGGGCTGACCTCAAATTTACCATGTAGCTAAGGATAATCTAAAACTCCTGGTTCTCCTGCTCCCCAAATCACCAAACCCAGCAAAATTGATTCAAGGGTTATTTGCGGACATACTTTCTTTGTTGTTTTAGGGACCATCTCATTGTGTAGCCTAGGCTTACCCCATACTGTCAGTGATCCCCCCACCCCCCATTTCTGAGTGCAGGGATTACAGTCATCTACTATCAGGCTCAGGTAAGTAAGCATTTGTTTTTGTGAGGCAGTTTATATTTCAGCCCTTTTGTTACTCCACCAATCAGAAGCTTTTGACACAATTGATCTGTCTCTCTTCCCTGAAATGCTTCCAGGCTCCCCCTTGTCTCCCTTGCCCTTTTGGGCCTTTCCTATGTCTCCTCCCTGTGGACTGCTCTAGGGCATGGTCCTCAGACTCCTTTTCTTACCATGCTTTCCCTGATGATTTCTCACTTGTACTATTAATATTCCCACCCTGGTCTCCTTCAGGATGTTCTCTACACTGTAGTCAGAGGACACTGTTAAGAAACAAGTCTTGTCAGGTGGTGGTGGTGCATGCCTTTAGTCCCAGCAGAGGCAGAGACAGGCAGATCTCTGTGAGTATAAGGCCAACTAGTCTATAGAGCTAGTTCCAGGACAGCCAGGGCTACACCAGGGTCTTGAAAACAAAACAAACAAAAAACAAATCTTGTCTAATGTGGTGTCACATACTTTTTTAGTCCCAATACTTGGTGGGTCTGAGGCCAGCCTGGTCTACATAGCAAGTTCCATGGCTAGCCATGGCTATAGTGAGAGCCAGTCTTGAAAAAAAATAAGCAAACAAAAACAACAACAAAACCCAAATAAAGATTTTTGGTTTTGGTTTTGTTTTGAAACAAGGTCTCCCTTTGTAGCTCTGGCTGTCCTGAAACTCACTGTGTAAATCCACCTGCCCCTGTCTTCTGAGTCCTAGGATTAAAGATGGTGACACCACTCCTGGTGCAACTCTGCTTGGAAGTCCTCACACCTCCAATGGCTCCCCTTTCTACTCAGAATAAATCCAAAGTCCTCATGATGGCCCCTTGGCTCTGAGTCCCTGCTCTTTCATCTCACTCACTACTCTCTTGTTCTCCCTTATTCTTTTAAAACTATTTGAGCCTCCTCTCCCATTGCTGAACACATACCAGGCATCCAAGGCTCCACAGCTGTCTTTCCCTGTTAGGAATGCCCTTCCCTCTACACGGCTCACTTATTGCCCTTACCTCTGTAAACCTGGTATTGGCTAGAAAAGCCTGCATTAGTCATTCTGTGTAAAATTCTACCTTTTCTCCAACATTTGCTCTCTTCTTCCTTCCTCTTCCTCAAGACAGGGTCTTGTTGACTTCCAGATCCTCCTGCCTCAGTTTCCCAAGTGCTGAGATTACAGACCTGCACCATTATGCCTGGCTCATGCAGTATGTGGATAGAAGCCAGGGTCTCATGCATGCCAGGCAGGTGCTTTACCAACTGATTGATAGCTCAGCCCCTCTGCCTCCTCTCTTCAGTATTTTTCATGCAATATGGTTTTGTTTGTTTGGTTTTGTTTCTCAAGATAGAGTTTCTCTGTTTAGTCCTTGCTGTCCTGGAACTCACTGTAGACCAGGCTGGCCTGGAACTCAGAGATCCTTCTGCCTCTGCCTCTCAAGTGCTGGAATTAAAGGCATGCACCGCCTTCACTTGGCTATCCAATATGCTTTATGTGTATGTCTTCCTACACCTACTGTAAATTCCACGGAGGCAAGGATCTAAGCCTGTTTTGTTCGATGCCGAGTCTTTGACAGTCTGATATAGACAGGGGTCAACATTTGTAGCAAGTATGGATGCTTATTTTGGAACATCTTTGTTAGTACTAATGGGCAAGAAGTAAATTAGGAGCCTCAGAGAGAGCTGCAGATGGCTGGAAGGAAGCAGAATTTTCTCAGTCCTTGGAGCTTAAGGAATCCTTAGAAAGGTTAGAGAGGCGTGTTTAAATAGTGATTAAGAACAGGAGGTAGGAAGTCAGCGCCCCTGCGTTGCAGCTGTGTCAGCTCTGTCTGGTCCTCAGTTTCCATACCTGAAAAAGAGACAATCAGAGCACCTACCTCAGAGGTTTCTTTACTTAGGAGCTTGTGAAAAACCACAGGGCTGAGGATGTAGCTCAGCTAGTAGAACATGCATGAAGCCCTGGGCTCATGTCTCAGTGTCACATAAAAGCTACATGGTGGCATATGCCTGTAATCCCAGGACTGGGAAGTGGGGGTGAAAGTGGGGGTGATCAGAAGGTCTTCTGTGGCTAAGGCTGAACACCAAGTTTGAGGCCAGCTGGATGTATTATACGGGATTCTACCTCAAAAAGGAAAGAAAGAAAGGAAAGGAAAGAAAAGAAACAAGAAAAGGGGGCAGGAGAAATGACTTAGTGGTGAAGAGCATGTTCTGCTTTTGAAGATGGCCCCAGGTTAGTTTCCAGCACCCATGTCAGGTGGCCCTAACTTCAGCTCCAGAGATCCTGACCCCTTATTCTGGAGGCACCTGCACTCATGTGCATGCCCCACATATACATATAATTAAAAAAAATTAAGCCAGGCAATGGTGGTGCAGGCCTTTGATCTCAGCACTCAGGAAGCAGAGACAGGTGGGTCTCTGTGAGTTTGAGGCCAGCCTGAGCTACAGAGCAAGTTCCAGGACATACTCCAAAGCCACATAGAGAAACCCTGTCTCGAAAAACCAAAAAGAAAAATAGAAAAGAAAAAATAAATTAAATACCACCTTTAAAAAGAAAGACATGAAAAATCTATACAAACAGAGTCCAGGCCAGATCAGACTACTTAGGAAGGCTCTGCTTGAAGGTTCTAGTAGTTTTTACTGTGTATCATATACATATAGGATGCTTTTATAAGCTAGGAACTCACATTCAAAGCATGGAGTGAGGGTGGGGGGTGGTGGACACTCAGGCAGGCACAGCTAGTTTAGTCCTAAGAGGATCGGAACCTAATGAGAATAATGTCTGCCTCAGAATGATCCTTGTCTGGACTCAGGCAGCTCCACAAAACCCCTGTTTTCAGAAGAAAAAAAAAAAAATCAGGATTTGGTATGTGGCCTGAGGCCTCTGCTGGGGAGCAAGCAGCTCCCAGCTGCCTGTGGCTGATGCAATCGGAGCGGAGAGAAATGATTCACTTTGACTCCGCCAGCCACCCCGGGACTTCGGCCAGCAACAGGTTTGGGGTTCATTGGAGGATGATTTTTTTTCCCCCTTTCTTGAATTGAAAGAGTAACTTTGTGTTTCCAAAAGGCGATGTCATTGTGTGGAGAGATCATGCAGTGAAGTTGTTTTGGGCGAGTCTGGGATGAACCACTTTTGCTATGCTTATTAAGTCTGGGGGAGAATGAAATTGAGGGTCTTCATTTCCCCCCAACCCGTTTCCTTCTACCCAGCAAAGACAGCTGAAAGATGTCTTTGAGAAGTAATGGAGACAAGGGGAGGTGACTCGGAGGTACCAGAATGCTGTCCAGGAGGCTGCCAGAGAAGTGGCTTCTTGTTTGTCAGCAAGAGTTTGTGGTAAGGAGGTCTGCGAAGCTTTCTCCCACAGCACCGGGGACTAAACAGAACAAATAAAACCTCTATTTGTTCATCACTACCCTGGATTTAGATGGTGTTTTACGGCCAGGGTTATTGGGATCAGCTGAAACCCAGGCAGACTGTTTATTTCTAGGGTGGCTAAGCCAGACAAATGCTTCTCTGTCCTTCTACTTTCCCAGCCAGGAAAGCAGGAGACACATTCAATCGAAAAAGAAGCAATGAAGAGTATATATATAAATTCAGGGGTGCCTACTGTGTCTTCAATACTGAAACACATAAATAAATTTTCAAAAGTGTAAAATTGGGCTCAAGATACATAAAATCCACTCTCCAGGAGGATTCCTAATGGGCAAAACTCAAGAGGAACTTTACAGATGCGACTTATTTGGGGTACCAAGACAATCTTACAAATGAGGAGGAAGGAGGTGTTGGAGGTTGTGGGGAGGCTCTGGGGCTCTCTGAGGAGGCTTCATAAGGAGGCCATAATCAACATGGTGTCTGTGTTGTTCTCACTGGTGCCCAACACTTACTTACTTTAACGCCTGTCATAGAGTGGGCACTCAGGAAGCATGTGAAAATGAATGACGAAGGAGGTGGCTTATATTAGAGGGATAAATAGGTGAAGAAGGGGGAGGAGGCCCAGAGAAATGAGCTGATGTCTCGGTGAGACTGGTTTAACCACAGTGGAGGGTGTGTAGTGAGGAGTCGTGGGAAATTAGGTTAGATATGGAGCCAGATCACGGAAGGTTGGAAAGCCACGTCGAGAAATTTAGTGGAGACAAACATTCTTTCATAAACCCTTTTCTTCCCTTCTCCTCCTCCTCCTTCCCCTTCTCCTTCTCCTTCTCCTCCTTCTCCTCCTTCTTTTGTGGGTAAACGCGCATGCGTGCGTGCGTGCGTGCGTGCGTGCGTGCGTGTGTGTTGGGTATTGAACCCAAGGTGTTTCAGGACTCACACTACTCCCACTGTGTATTCAGGGTCCCCAACAATCATTGAATCTTTGTGAAACACAGACTGTATGCTAACCCAATGGGGGAAAGAACAGTAGAAGAACAGATACTATTTAAAAAGGTACCCTTTATTGTAGTTGCTGTGATAATAATGGCTTGTGTAAAACGTTTGGATATTTTAGTAACTTTGACTGCAAAAGCTGAGGTCGTGTCAAATCTGGTCAAGTGAATTGAAAGATTTCCTGAGAGGTGGCCAAGACATCCAGTGTAGGAAGTGGGACCCAAGGGGATAAGGGGCTTAAAGTGGTCAATTTCAACATTACCATTCTTCCTCTCTCCTAGAAATGCCTCATGGGTAATCCCTGCTGTTTTTCTTTCTTTACGGGATTCCTTCTCTGAGTAGGATTTCCCTGATGGAAGCTTGACATCTCCACACACTAGGCCAGCCATCCTCGTTTACTTGTTGAAGCCCAGAATTTTAAGAATAAAGAATCTTCCTGGTTGTGGCGGTACAAGTCTGTACTCTTAGCACTTGGGAGGATGAGGCAGGAGGATTTCTACGAGGTCAAATGCAGCATAGGCGACATAGCCAGTACTATGTCAGACACAGCTATATGTTAAGACCCTATATTAAGGGACTGGAGAGATGGCTCAGCAGGTAAGAGCACTGGCTGCTCTTCCAGAAGGTCCCAGGTTCAGTTCCCAGCACCCACATGGCAGCTCATAACCATCTATGACTCTAGTTCCAGAGGATCAACATTTTCTACTGGTCTCCTCAGGCACTTAGCACACATGATGCACATACACACATGTAGGCAAAAGCACACGTGCATAAAATAAAAAGTAATTTTTATTAAATTAATAAAATATTTTAAAAAATAATTGTTTAGCCTTAGGATTTTGCTATTGAGCCCACATTTTTGTGACCTCAATACAGATACCAACATTGACTCTGGAGGCAAAGTGCAAGCACTAATGACCATTAGGACCTTGGGCTTTAGGAAGTCACAGGTGTTGTAGGCAAAAGTGAATGGGTCTACAGGGAGCCTATTACTTCTGTAAATTTTTGTTTGTTTGTTTTTTGAGACAGGGTTTTTCTGCGTAACAGCTCTGGCTGCCCTGGAACTCTCTGTGTAGACCAGAACTCACAGAGATCTACCTGCCTTTGCCTCCCGCATGCTGGTATTAAAGGCATGTGCCACCATGCCTGGATAAGCAGAGGCAGATGAATCTCTATAAATTTGGGGCCATCCTGGTCTACATAGCAAATTCCAGGCTGGCCAAGGCTATATGGTGAAAACCAAATATTAATAATTTTTAAAAACCCCATTTTAAAAAACAAAAGGGCTGGGAAATGGTTTTGCCATTCAATCATGAGAACTAGAATTTGGATCCCCCGTACCCATGTAAAAATGCAGATGTGATGGTGTGTGCCTAGTCCTGGGGAAGCAGGGACGTAGTTCTCGGGAGCACGCCTATCTGCCTATGTAGGTGAGCTCCAGGTTCAGCATCTCAAAAGTAGAGAACAATGGAGGAAGACACTGTACATTGTCCTCTGGCATCCACACACATGTGCATGTATGTGCACATACAAGAAAGTTTAAAGAAAAAGCGAATCTGATTGAGTTCATTCAGCCTTTGTATGGATACATGCCCCTGGATCCTAACCACCAGCTGTGCTTAGGAGGCAAGTCATGCCTACCAAGAGCTGTGGATCAGAGTGGGGAGTGGGGCTCAGCTGGTAGAGTGCTTGCCTTGTATGTAAGAAGTCCTGAGTTCATACCCAGCACCACAAACCAACAAGGACAACTTGAATTCCTCCAGTTGAATGATGCAGGGAGAAGGTCTCTTCTCTTGAGCTTGGTAGAGGCACAAGGCTTTTTTTTTTTTTTTTTTTTGGCCAGGCTTAGGGGACATGAGGATGGGACATTTCCAACATCATCCAAGTAGCATTCTGGAGCTGTTAGGAAGTGGAGATGTTTTTAGAAATTGAAGGGACCCCAGACCATGAAGAAAGCTTCTGCCTAGCCCAGAACAGAACAATTCAGAGGCAAAAAATTATTTTATTTTATTAGATAGTATTAAAAAAAATTAAGTCTGAGTCTGCTTCTCATTTGTTGCCATATCCCAGGCCACATAGGCAGGCTCAGAGTAAAAACTCACAACATGTTTTTTCAATTGAATTCAATTCCCTCAAACGCAGACAATCAACAAACAAACTGCTTTTTATATTATGTTAGGGACAGAGTCTGGATCAGGAACACAAACATCAAAACATGCTTTTTCTGATTCTTAATCTAGGGCTTGGGTCACTGGACACAGACTTGGGGATAGGTAAAAACAAAGCCGCAGAGTCAGAGCCAAGGTGCCCGGCAGAGGGCTAGATAAACAGATAGTGCTGTGTGTGCCCAGTGGCTCCCAGCGCAGATCAAAGGCAGCTTTCCCCAGTGCAGGCAGCAAGCATGGCAGGAATCTGGGGACCTCTCACCCAGTCCCCCACCCACGCTCACAGATGGAGAGCCATGCCAGTAGTGGCCACACCTTTGAGTACTACCAGCATGCAGGCGTTTGTGACAATTCCTTTCTGGTTTTTCCTATATAGTTCCCTTAGATAACCAGTAGTGATATGACTGAGCGTGTGACTACTGGCTGGATTGCTTGGGTTCACAGCCCAGGTCTGCTACTTGAGTCAGTGTTTGTATGGCTTAACTACTTAGTTTCTGCATTAATAAAACAGCACCAAAGTAATAAACCCCTTTAAAGGAAGAGGGAAGAGTGAAAGGGTTATTTATGCATATGACTAAGTGTGTAAAATGGCATGTATGCATTGAGTGAGAATCACACTCACTGTAGTTGGTTTCCCAAAACAAGATGGCAGACACGAACTCCCCATCTTCCAGGGCCCTACAGGACATTAAACCCACAGAAAGCTATGGAGGGCTATAGTTTGGATCTACATCTATTTCTTTTCTTTTCTTTTTTTCTTTTGGAACTCCTGATTGGTCCATGAACAGGAAAGAAACTAAGCCAAACCAGTCAGAATTCTTCCCTAGTATTCTTTGTTTTGGTAGGAGAGAACATGTGCTCTCCTCCCTGTTCCTTGCCTTTGGGTTTGAAGTAGTGAGGATGTGAGTTCAAAGCGCGTTTGTTCATCTCCTACTCTACGGGAGAGTGAAGCTGCCCAGAGAGGATGTAGCAGTTCTACAGATCTGGCCTACAATTTGACTACAGAGGACATTAAATTAGCCTCTCCTGGCTGGGTGGTGGTGGCACATACCTTTAATCCCAGTACTCAGGAGGCAGAGACAGGCAGATCTCTGTGAGTTTGAGGCTAGCTCTGGTCTACAGAACAAGTTCTAGGACAGGCTCCAAAGCTACACAAACCCTGTCTCGAAAAACATGACATAAAAAAAAAAAAAAATTAACCTCTCCTTGAACTTTGATTCTGTTACTTGCAACTAGACTTTGTGCTCAAGTGTCAACTCAGAGAGACAGCATCTGAGTTTCCTTTTAGTTTATATTGAATTATTTCAAGTTTTATGGCAGATGGGGTCAATATTGTTTATATTGCTTTGCTTAAAAAAAAAAAAAGATTAGCTGGGCATAGTGGTACAGGCCTTTAATCCCAGCACTCTGAAGGCAGGGCAGGTATGTCTCTGAGTTCAAGGCAAGCCTGGTCTACAGAGTAATTTTCAGGACAGCCGGGCTAAACAGAGAAACCCTGTTTCGAAAAGAAAGGAAGAAAGAAAGAACAAAAGAAAGACAACAACAATAAAGATTTATTTTATGTTTATGGATGTTTTGCTTGCATTTCTGTGGGCTATATGCAAGTATGGTGTCTAAAGAGGCTAGAATAGGGTGTTGGATCACCTGGAACTAGAGTTATAAAAAGTTGTGAGCTACCATGTGGATTCTGGAATCTGAACCTGGGTCCTTTACAAGAGAAGTAAATAAGATCTCTTAGCCACTGAGCCATCTCTCCAGCCCCCTTGTTTTGCAGAAAAAGGAGGAAGAGGGGAAAGAAAGAGAGGAAGGAAAGGGGGGAGGGAAAGAAGGAGGGAGGAAGGGAGGAAGGAAGGAAAAAAAGAAAGGTCCTGTGTTTTAATAA